GGCAGCTGGGGGTGGCAGCAGGGGTGAGGGGGCAGTGGGGGTAGGGTGGGGTGTTTTTTAACAACCCCCACAAATCAACAAATAACTTTGTTATTCATTGCTTCATGGGGGCAACTCGTGCTTTGTGAGTTGTCAACTTTTGATGACTGACAAAGCGGGATGACTCACCAAATGGTGTCATCCCCATCTCTAATTATAATATTTTCTTCTTAAAAACTGCAGCCTCTGAAAGAATTTGGAGAGCTTGCTTTTACGATAAGACATAGATAGAGGGTAATAGAAAACTGATAGAATGAAGAAACCTATTTACTCACTGAATGGAGGACAGACAGAAAATAAGAGCATCAAGTAGCTTGAACAAAGGACATTCAAATTGGCATATTTTATTCAAACAATTCATCCACTTCAGATTATATTTTGGCCAGAAATATAGTATGGATCTTGTGAAGTCAAGTGAATATAGAAAATAAATTGTTGTGTCTTTTTTTTAAAATCGTAGTTATTCCTCTCATTAAGCAATGTTTTGCATATCTATCAGTGGCAAAGTGTAAAGATTTGCCTTTAAACATAAACTTCAAGGAAAAGTAGTTCATTGCACAAATTTCAAGGAAAACTAACATGATAGGGAAATACTAGTTTTCAAATAAAAAAACACACTTCAGTATCCTTTAAAAACATATCTCAGTATTCCTTTTAAACATTATCTGCATTAGAATGCCTGTAGATCCTAGAATCTCTGGCATAGGTAATTCTAAAATGCCAATGTTGTGTATTAATATGATACATTCACTATGTACTAATCCAACACACATTGAAATACCTTTTTACTTTAGCCTTTATCAGGGCCTAAAGATACCTTGTAGCTAGCTGGTCAATGAGTGTTAACCTTTCTTTATGTAGCCATCTATATGACAGTACTATATAAACAGATGGTGGTGATGATTATAATATAGACTTCAAAAGAGGTCATAATACCTCTGTTTTCTTTTTCTGTAGTGTCTGCAATAGAAAAATGCATTTGAGAAAGACCCTAGTTTTAGGAAACATTTTTTAAAAATCACTTTTTTACTGTATGAGCAATGCAGGCAGTCACATTCTGTAATGTTCAAAGATTTTTTTTTGAATGTAACTAATCAAAACCAAGAGGTCTGAGGTTACCAAACAATTGGCAAAAATTGAAAGCCATGTTAACAGTGACATTGTGAATCAATTTAGAAAATGCAGTTAACTAATGAGTTTCCTTTAAATAATAAAAGTTAAGTATAAGTGCTGCTGTAATTTTAACATTGGAAGATATGTGATAATAAACTACCACTTTTCATCTCTATAAAAACATAACAGAAACAAAATTGTGTAAAAGTTACCAAATGCACCATAAGTGGCAACATCTCCTGTTTGAATTAATCTCTGACAATTGCTCAGATGAATATTAAGGCCATGACCTTGTTCAGTATTTGCTGCTGCTAAGTGCTGTCAAGTCAGAACCAATTTACAGTGGCTTTCAAGGTAAGTGAGATATTTAAAGAAGTGGTTTTACCAGTTTCATTCCCCCAATGAGCTTCCATGGCTGAGGGGGGATTTAAACCCATATCTCCTGACTCATAGTTCATCATGCTACCCACTACACCACACTGGGTATCTCACCAAACTTAGATGCAAATCACCAGTTTGCTAAGATGTCACAGTGATCTGAGGAGCTGCATGACATGATCAACCACGAACATGAACAGCATGTCATCAGATCATCATGCTTCAGCAACTGGAGTTCTGCATGTATAAATAGTGATAAGGGTACTATCCTAATTATTTAATCTACTGATTAAATGGATTAAGATTTACTGTCTTGGTTTATGCAGTGCCACAGCAGGAAAACTAGGTGTTTAGAGAAAAATGTGTATCCATTAGTATTAAAGGATTCAAGCTAGAATCTGTATTGAATGTGATAGACCGATATCTGACCAAGATGTTTGACTAGGAGGTTTGCTACATGGCTTGGCTGGAGCAGGGTTAATAAGGTCACTTAAGATCAAGTTATTGTGCTGTCAAGTTGCCTCTGACTTATGGTGACCCTATGAATGAAACATCTCCTGTCCTCAAATGTCCTGTCCTCAACTGCTCTGCTCAGCTCTTGCAAACCCAAGCCTACGGCTTCCTTTAGGGCAGGAGTCTCAAACTCAATTGGGGGCCGCTGGAGGCAGAGTCTGGGTGAGGCTGGGCTGCATCAGATTTTCTGCCAAGCGGAGCAAGAGCCTGAGGAAGCTGCCCAGGAGTTTCCTTAGCCCAGCTGGGGCTCTAAGGAGGAGGAGAAGGAGGGGCGCATGAACCCTCGTCGCCAGCCACGACCCCTCCAGTTCTTTCTTCACTACTACCATCACCAGCAGGATGAAGAAGCGGAGAAGGGAGGGAGCGCCGGCGACCGCCTAGCCAGGGGGAGGAGGGCACAACATAAAATTTAAAAATAACCCTCACAGAATTTGCCTTGCCAAAGCAGAAAAGCCCCCACCAATACCTGCAAAATTAAACAGAATGTGGCGTAAACAGAACGGGGGGCGCGCATGCACGCACACAAACACATAGACATGGAGGTCCTGCAACCTTCCTCTGAGGGGCCCCCTCAAAAAAGGTGCACTCAGCAGCAGCAGCTACCCCCAGCACAACAGAGGAGCAAACTTTGCGAGATGAGCCCAGGCAGGCTCCAGAGAAAGGCGGCTGAAGCAGGAGGAAGAGGAGGACAAAGCACTGCTAGGCTCTGAGGCAGCCGCTGGCCGGGCTGGTGCTGGGGGTGCCGAGAGAGAAAGAGAGCCAGAGAGCCGCTTCCCTGGAAGAGGCGTGACAGCGGCAGCTGCTGTTGGTGGCTTGGAGGCCCTCTTCGAGGACGGGCTGGGAGCCAGCTCTGCTTTCAGGCATCACTCAGTGGCGGCTCGGGCGCTCAGGGAAAAGGGCCGGCAGCATGCCTCACTCGCCAGCTGTCCCCAAAGACAGCACCTCTTGCACCCTCCATCCGGAACTGCAGCCTGCCAACCAGCAGGCAGGCAGGCTGGCAGGCAGGCTGCAGTTCCGGATGGAGAGTGGAAGAGGCGCTGTCTTCGGAGAGAGCCAATGAGCGAGGTGAGTTTTTGACTTAACAGTAGAGGATGTGTGGGCACTTCAGGAGGGCAGGCAAGGTGGGGACCACAAACTATGGTCCAGCGGGCCGCAAATGGCCCCCGGGCCACATGTTTGAGACTCCTGCTTTAGGGAGTCAGTCTATCTTGTACAGTGGTGCCTCGCTTAGCAATGTTAATTGGTTCCAAAAAAATATTGCTATGGAAAACATCGCTAAGCGAAACACCATTTCCCATAGGAATGCATTGAAAACCGGTTAATCCGTTCCAATGGGAACGGATTACCGTCTTTAAGCGAAAATCGTCATAGGAAACATTGATAAGCAAAACAATGTATCCCCCATTGGAATGCATTGAAACCTTTTCAATGCATTTCAATGGGGGAGAAAAAAATTCACCAAAACTTAACGAAGACTCAGAACAAAGCCAAATTAAGTTTGCAAAGGTTTTACAAGGTGCACTAACGAATCCAAGCATTTAAAACAGTTTCTGACTCCTTGTTAATTTCTGGTGAATTCCCCCCCCCCATTGGAATGCATTGAACTGTCAAACCTACAGTTCAATGCATTCCAATGGGGGAGAAAAAAATTCACCAGAAATTAACGAAGACTCAGAACAAAGCCAAATTAAGTTTGCAAAGGTTTTACAATGGGCACTAACGAATCCAAGCATTTAAAACTTTAAAACTTTAAAATTCAACAACAAATTAAAAAAGAGTCAGAACAAAGTCAAATTTGGTTAACAAAGGGTTTATTAAGTGCACTTTAACATCATAGCACTGTGCAGGTGATTTCAAACATTGAAAAACTTTTTTAAAAAAGCATACATGAGGCAGGAACTTTAAGTTTATAAACTTTAATTTTATAAATAGCATAGAAAAAAATTTTAAACACAGCAAACACGATGCACGAACATTGTATTGGACAAAACTCCAGAAACTCTTGAAGTGCACAAACATAAAACATAATTTTTTAAGGACAGAAACTTTTAACATTTCAACATTGTCAGGCAGTAAACATTACAGTAACACTATAGAAACATTTTTAAAGTGAACAAGAGAGGCAGAAGCCTCTAAACCACCCGGGCCAGTGTTCCCCACATCACTGCAGCAGTCTTCTAGGGGGATGATGAGGGGGCGGAAGAAGCAGAGATGGTCCAGGTCGTAGGCAACTGGGCACCACTGGTGGAAGGAGCAGGTTCCTCGTCCTG